CCTGCCTAGGCAGGGGGTTGGATTAGAAGACCTCCAAGGTCCCTTCCAACTCTGCTATTGTATTGTTTGTTCAATAATTTTAATATTCATCAGTCTTTCCCTCCGAATAATATGTCTTGATGTGGTGAACATTTCCTTAATAGAATGCTGCAGTTCCAAATATAATAAATTGGGTTAATGGAGCACAATTGCTGTGTTCATGCAACATACCAAAACTATATGTCTTATCTCAATGACTTTGTTCACTATGGATTTCCACTACACTATGGATTGCTATCAGTGGTGGGTTGCAGGCGGTACGCCCCGGTACTGGCATACCGGTGCCTGCCAAGAGCACCGGCTCCAGAGGACCTCCCTGCCCACCCTCCTTACCTGTATTTGAGCTCTTCAGCGCTTCCGCGCACGGAGCATACGATGCCTGCACAGCGCTCTGCCGAGCAGCTGGAGTGTCATGGAGCGTCGCAGGAGGTAAGGACATATGTGCATGCTGCGCGCGTGTGCGCGCACACGTTCATGTGGTGGATGCCGGACGCCGTTTCACCGTACCAATTGCAACGAGATCCGGAACCCACCACTGATTGCTATAGTAGTAATATAGGAACTGATAAAGCAGGATATTCTATGGCTGATACTGCACAATCCTGTGCAAACAGTTCACAACCCAAAAATGTAGACAGTTTATACACACTGTAGTACCCTGTCAGTGTAATCCATATAAACAGTAGAGCTGAATTATCAATAATAATATGGACAAAGGTGATGATTTTGAAGATAGTGCTTAAATTGGATGTGTAAAATGTTCCTTTGTTCCTTTGTAAATGTGTAAAATCTTCATATGTCAGCGTCTGAAACAGAGTCAGTATATGCAGAATAGAACTGATGGGAAGGAATGGAGGTGCTAGAGTGTGCCTCTTGAATTTCCCTGCTAAATGCCGTTTTTGAATTTTTAAATCCAATCTCATCCTGACCCCAGAACTAGAAATTAGCCTAGTGAGTTACTCTGAGGACAGAATTGGCAGAGAAGAATGTGGTGTTAAAATAGTTTTTCCCTCATCTTCTCTCCCCTTCTCTATAAATATCTTCCCCCAATTTCTGATAACCCTGGGAATATGGGCCGAGAACATGTATTTGACAAAACAAATCTCAATCTGGCTTTCAAATAAAAACTCTCACAGAAAGCTTTCAGTTCATTTGAAGTGTTCTGAGCTATTTAAAATATTAGATTTTTTTTAAAGGATATCAAATTCCTGAACTATTATTTTTACAAGGCAATCCAAATTTATTGTTTTACTCTTTTATAGTTAATTTTTACAATGATCTTGGACAGAATGCCAGCCCTTAATTTGTATCAACTGAACCAATACTACTCAGCTGTACAGCAGTAATAACAAAATTTGGGACATTATTTTCCCCTCTGCAGTCTGGTTGTGTGGTTGTGTGGTGTTTTTTTTTTTTGAAATAGTATATCTGGAAAAATAAATTGTATATTTGGAAAGATAATGGACGCTGCAGAAACCATACAAAATTACATACAGTGTGTACTTGGATTTTTTGATTCATATCCATACGAATGCAAATTAGGGAATATTATATTACCTGCATTGATCATAGAATAATACAACTGGGTACTCCACAGAGCAGGGATATAGATAAGCCTGACAGTTCTTGAATGCATCTTTATCTAGCACTTCTATCTCTGTCTCTGTAACCACAAGGGAAGCGTCGTGTGACACATTGTACAGGTAGGTAGACCTTGCTTCTAAAATCTCATAGCTCTCTAAACAAGCCTATTAACAGAGCCAAGCATTTTGAGCCTGTAAAGGCAGTTTATTCCTTGTGTGACTATAATATTATTAAACAATTTTCCTTTTTTCTTTGCCAGCTTCTTGCAGAACACCTAATGGCTTGTAAACATTGTAGTACTGAATGTTAATGGATGTTTATATAGGTTTCTTGATTAAATGAATGGCCAAGAAAAAGGCCCAAATGTTAGAGAGCTATATAGCATCCCATAATCTTCTGTAATAATAGTTGCTTTGCAGTTTGGCTGTAAACAGTGATAGTGCCTGTTCTAGTATACTCAAAAACCATCCTAACATGTGCCTAAATCAACCTTTTGCTTTAGATTGAATTGCAGTGCTTATTCACTATCTAAATTACCTTTTGTGAGCAATAGATTTAATTTATGACACCAGTAAGCAAGTTGAAGTGAATAACATATATTTCTGTGTTTTATACATTATGTAAATATTTAAATGGCATTTATGTAATATTGGAAATGCCTGGTAATAATTAATATATAACTATATAGTAATGTATACGTATTATGCATTTCCATTGTGAAGACTAAACAAATTTGTCCTGCAGTTATATAAATGGTTTATTCCTAATGCCTCATTTATAAATATATTCTTAACTTTCTAAAATTCTATCTTTATTATTAATTTTATGGCACTCCACATTCCAAATATGCCATCTGTTGATTTAATTTTTCAGTCTTTTCTGGGTAAATTAAGGTGCTATTTTAAGATTACCACAAGCAGTATTATCTCTTCAGAGCTCTTTACAACTATTGTACATAGTTAATAAAGCTTCATTCAGCAGTTGTCTCTTTAACTTTGTATTCAATGGCTTAATCTCTGTAAATCTATATGTCTTATAATAGTCTAAGATGCTTACCATATGTTATTCTTTCTATCTGATATGGGACATGCCACTTTTCAGATCAGTCTGCCTATTGTCAGAGGGTGGACTGGAAAGCAAGTGTAACAAATTCTTAATCTATCCCTGGAATATGATCTGTAAAATGGTTGGTTTAAGTTAATAATAGGTTTTGTAGAATTGTTTTTACATAAATCAACCTCATCCTGAATGATCTACCAGAATAATGCCTTTGGCAATGTAGTATAATTTCATATGTTGTGATCGTTTGGTGTATTAGTTTATAGTTTTTACTATGTTTTAATGATATTTGCATTAAAATGCATTTTTTTAAATTTTTTCAGGACTTAGATGTTATTAGAAAAAAATTAACTTAAACAGACATAAAGCATAAAACAGTAACACTGTTGGAAAAATTAAAAAATTAAAATTTAATCTTAAATGAAATGGTTTCTGAAAACATATATCCCTGACAATGGAGAAAATTGTATATTTACTCTGTACCTTTTTTTTTCTTTTTGTGTATCAATTCTAACCAGTTCTCTTATTAGCTTTAATTAAAACTTAAAATTCAACTGTGGTTTTTATCTATAAGATTATTTATTAATCAGTTTTTTTAAGATGAACTTTAATTATGATTTGAATTGAAATAAATTAGCATTGAATTTTGGTTAAAGGCTAAATAAAATAGCAGAAAAAAGTTTCATTCGTGATGGGGCAGGTTTCAGAAATCACAACCTGTTTTCTATCTTTTTCAATTCAATTAAAACTTTTATTATCAGAGTATAACATGTATACAACGAGATTGGCTGAGCGTCCCTTCGTGCATCCCCACAACACAATATAACACAAAGTGAAAGAAAAAAAATTCCTGGCTCAGTGAATCCTACTAACAAACTCCCAGTCCTATTGCACCATGTGAACCTCTGTGTTTAGGAAATTGATAGTCATAAATCAATAAAAAATTCAATATATATTTTAGTGTTAAGTGCAGAAGTACAGCTCAATTTATTTCTTGATTTAGGTCTAGAAATGTATCCTATAGTTTTTGCTAACACAGGAAGTTTTATTATAGCAAAGCTTATAATATCCATTTATATTCATTTTCAAAACAAACAACCTACTGATGAATTCATGCTTTCAGAATTTCTCTAACATGTATCAATATTAAAAAGTGTATGTTGGCACTATTGTCAAGACACATTTTTCTTTCTTTTATGAAAAACAGCTGCATCTATCCAGCCTTGGCTGATGTGTAAATTTTGTCCTATGTGTTATTTGGATGGGAACAGGGCTGTAGGCTAGACCTTTAGCTACATCTATAGATTTCCAGGAGCCAGGCTCACTTATTATCTTATTTCAGCTTTCCTTTGGTTAACAAACCTGTGAAGATTGTAAGTGCGAGGATTGGTCACAAAGTTACTTTTTCATCACTATTGTAATTGGGAATAGTTTTTAAACAAGGCAATTACTTAAATGAGGTCTACCTATATTTTCCAAATCCAGCTATGTTGTTGCATGCGTGGTGCATCAACATAATTCTTTTACTGTTTTATCTTCAGTACATATATCATTAATCATTGCAAATCAAATACCAAGTTTATATTTAAAGTCATTACAATTAACATTATAGATACTGATATGCAGATATGTGAAAATTTAATTCAAAGTAAAATTTACTTTAGTGACTTTTCTGTGTTAATTGTAATAATTAAGTTAATTCCTTAGTTGGATAGAAATAGAAAAAAAGTCACTCCCTTTCTGAAAGTCAGGTTGTCCCCCCAATTATATATGTATTCATTATGGAGTCTCAGTGTATTAAAAATATTTTAAAAAATGTGTGCATAAATAATTTAAGAGCTTTGGTCGTTGTTTTTATTCTTTTCTCCCATATAACTTGTTAGAGACATGAAATAGTAAAATGGCAGAATACTGTATATGAATGTTTGTTATGTATTTGATTTATTTTTTCAATAGAGGAAGGATATGTTAAAATGTTTCTGCGTGGACGTCCTGTTACCATGTACATGCCAAAAGATCAAGTGGAGTCTTACAATTTGGAAGCGAAGGCAGAACTACCATCCAAAAAGCTTAAACTGGAATGGGTGTATCCTTCTTTATGGACACACTTCAACTAAATAATGCTTATTTCTGATACTCTATTTTTAAAGTACGTCTTTAAATGTGATCAAGCATAGTAGGCATCTAAATTCAAGGGACCAGTATATTGTCATAGAAAGAACACAATAAATATTGATGTTATGAAGTTTCTCATCTATATATTATCAATAATCTCACATTTTCAGTTTAATGCATCTTGAAGGGGTGTATTTAAATCTATCAGGTTAGTAAGTTAGATGCATAATAAAAATAGGGTGCTGTAATTACTATTATAATATAGGGAAGTTGTATGTTTCTAGTTGCATAGTAAAGAGAATGTATAATATTTCCATACTATTTTTAATTAAAAACCCAATTATTTTTTTAAAAACTATCCAGATTCTCAGTACAAGCACAAAGATCATATACTAATCAAAAACATTAGCTATGCTGGATCCCTTCTTTTAATTATTACTGTTAATATTTCAAGTTACAAGCAGAAGTCAATTTCTTTTTTGTACAAGTTAAATATAGATTTTTATTTTAGTTAAAATACTGTTGAAAACCATTCTTGATTTCATGTTGTTTGGCTTTTAGTCTAATTTTAATTGTTTTAATATTTAAGCATTTAAAAATTAGCTATTTAATATGATTTTCATATGATTTTCATCATTTTATTCTTTTTTAATCTGTGTTTTATTTTACTTTTACATATGATCTTATTAATGTTATTTTCTTTATTTTGATATGGCCTATTGGCTATTGTGCTATATACGTTGCTTTAGAACTTTTGGTTCTAGTACCTAGTACCAAGTATGCAGATTAAAAGAGCTGCAAATTTTCCTTTGGGAAGAATCTCCTCCTATTAGCTGAGGGATATTTGATTTTAAGTGGGAGAAGGAGAATGTTCTGCAGTATGTAAAATTATACCCATGCAAGCAAACAATTTTCAATTGTTTCAAATCTTCCAACTCATAATTTTTCTAATAGAAAGTTGGTAATCTTAGAAACAGCACCTATGATAACATGCCATGAAATGTGAAAAATATACAACATACTACAAAAGTATCTACCTTCTTGAAGGGAAATGTATTCTCTTAGAACTTGGAACTAGAATTTTAATCATAGATGTAGTCATTAACAAGTGCTACTATCAGAGTTTTTCCTTTGGAATAATTGATAAAGTGTCAAGCAGCCAGAGAGCCTTACTGTATGCACTCAATGGTCCTAGAATTCCACATTATTGTCACTTCTAATGTTCAGTTGTTATATCTTAACTAAGATGCCAGCTATGGTTATAGAGGTCGAGATTGTCGCAATAATCTGTACCTCTTACCAACCGGAGAAACTGTTTACTTCATTGCATCTGTGGTTGTATTGTATAATGTTGAAGAACAACTCCAGAGACATTACATTGGTCACAATGATGATGTGAAGTGGTAAGCCATGGAAAAAGGAAGTTTGAAAAAAAAATCAGAATAAAACTTTCAAAGATATATCTTTTAGTTTATTTCTGATAAAGAAAACATAATGGCAGGCTTAGCACCAAATGTCTGGGGCTATGAATGAAATTGTCTTAGAAATGATGGTGACCCTGGATTCACTGGTTAGAATGTGTGTGTGTGTGTGTGTGTGTGTAGCATTTAATGTTAGATAAGATATACAATAAAATAAGAATGTTTCATATGTATGTATGTATGTATGCATGTATGTATAGCATTTAACGTTAGATAAGATATACAATAAAATAAGAATGTTTCATATGTATGTATGTATGTATGCATGTATGTATAGCATTTAACGTTAGATAAGATATACAATAAAATAAGAATGTTTCTGGTGCACCTCAATAAATTTTTACGAAATATGAAGTAAAAAGTGTTTCGTTGTTTTATTTATGTTATAAAAATGCTTTTATTTTTTATTTAATAAATATGTGTTTCCTCTCTCCCTACCTTTTTTGGGGGCAGCCTAGCAGTACATCCTGACAGGATTACCATAGCAACTGGTCAGGTTGCAGGAACATCTAAAGATGGAAAAGTAAGGTATTTTATTTACTTAAAATGAAATTGTTCTTGCCCTGTGCTAGGAGTGTTTTAATATTAATATAGAGCAACTGTTGAAATAAATTCCTAATATTTGTGTTAGTGAATAAGATACTAATTGGTTAATAAAATATATGAAAGAAGTTGAAATTG